AGATACTCTCCAAAATCTGTGGAAAGCTTCCCAGGAGAGTGGAGGCTGATATAGCTTCAAAGAAGGGCAACTCCATATTAATGCCCATGGTTTTGGAACGGGACGTCCAACAAGCTCATTTAGATGTGATTGTCAGGTGTCCACATACTTTTGGCCATACGGAGTACAAAATGGTGTGCATTTACAGTGCAAGTGTGTTCACCCACGCAGTTCGCATGATGCTAATTGGTCCACATAAGCCTCCATTAGTTGTTAACTACATTAGCCTTACGTAAAACCGAAGAAGCAAACTTCAGACACCAAACATGTCTTGGCTGTTCAGTTACATTTGAAGTAAGTGGGAAAACTGTGTAAAGCAGAATTTTCACCTAATTATTTTCTTCAAATGGCTTTTTCCAGAGCCGACTGGCTTCACAGCAGATAAAGCCACTGTCCATTATACCAAAGCAGAAGGAAAGTGCTATGCACACGGTGTTGGCTCCTTATCTTTACAAAGCTTTTCTGCAAGACGCAGCTTTCTAAGAGCTGATAGCACCATTAAGATGTGCCGTGTGAAAGGAATCCTAGCCTGCACCCACCACGGCACAAAAAAGGGTGTTAAAACTCACTCACAGATGTGCAGAGACCACTTTTCATTCACTGATTTCCAATTAAAATGACCATTAAGATCAGCGAAGTTCTTCATGATCAGCTACACATCCTTTCAGACCCACAGCGCTGAGTCGTCTTCTCACAGTGGAAGGATGGATAGAAACACCTGTGGATGTTTTCAGATCTGAAGCAGCTTGATTTTCTCCTCTCTCTCAGAGATGAAAGCTTTAAGTGCTGTTTATCTGATGGGGGCAGTTTTGGGGTCGACCAGCTCCTCCAGGTGGCTGTTGGGTGTCTCATTTGCTTTGTAGCTTTGAATCATTTTCCTGATTTTTCACTTCCTTCTTTTTTATCTTTCAATTATATCACATCTAAGCTCCTCAGAAGCATCTCCTGAGACAACCTGCAATTAATTCCAATTATTGTTCAAAAGTTCTGCAAAGTCATTCAGAGTGGTTTGGTGTGAAATGACTCTTTACAGTGGTGGTGATAGGAACCAGGGGTCGCCATGACTACAACACAAATATAGACATTTTATTTACTATCCAGAACCACCAGTGAACCTACACGAGTCTTCTGAGTTTATATGGAATGTTGATGATGGAAAATAGTGGAAAATCTGAAATAATACGTTTTCTTTGGGGACTATTTTGACTCCCAATGCCCTGCACGTATCCCTCCACCATGAATGGATTTAAAAAAATGTTTTAGGCCAAAAGCTTCTCAAAACTATCATAAAACAATGTTTTAAGCTTCATTCAATTCCATTTTATGTAATAACGTCCTGTGAGGTACCTTGTAGAGGCATTAAACTATTGAGACGCCTGGTTCCTATCACCACCACTGTGAACAGTTCTGACTCGGTAAGTTTCTCTAGAAGAGAGCGTTTCACACCAAACCACTCTGAACGACTCTGTTTATGTCTTAATAATAAAATCACATACATTTTTAAAAAATCAGCGGAGCAGGTAAATGAAGGGTGGTGCTGGATCTTCTCAAAAGACCACATTGGGTCGACGAGCATTGTACCGTGTGGAAACTTTACCAGCTAACCCATTCACAGCTACGCATTAGCAAATCCCCCTTAATAACTCACTGAAGTGATCTACTAACAACACAAAGCCACGAGCCTTTTCAGCCGAAACACAGCAGAAAGGCTCGCACATGCAAAGGGGGATTAATGATTTTTAATTAATTTGTTGCCGGTTATTCCGCTGCCAGAAGATCTGAATGTTCCATCGATAGAGATGAATGAACTTGGGACTCAGCAAATTAGCTCTGTACCTGTGCATCGGCTTATCGACGTGGACGCAAAAGCGCAGCCTCAGCAGGAGACGGCGGGAAACGCAATGAAAACACAATTAGCGCTATGGAGGAGCATGTGGCTCTGAATATGAACAAAAAGGAACGGCTGCTCTCGGAGCCGGCGACGTTCACGACGCGCACTGCTCTTAACTCATAATTGATGACGCCATGGTTTTGATGGAGAGCGAGGGGAACTCTGTGAAAGCTGCTACACACGACGCCCGCTTTTAAAGCAGCTCAGTAGGTTTGGTGTCAGTCATGATTAAGGAGGTAGTTTCTCTCAGCGTCTGAGCGAGATGAGGTTTAAAATGGACCGTGTTACGCAAGAACAGGGCAAACTTTTACCCAACTAAGTTCTCCAGAAGCCTCTCCTCTCAGGCGGTCCACATGTGACCTGCTAAAGAAGACACAGTTTGGTACATAGATATAAATATATCCAGTCTTTTTTATATGTATTGAATTTCAGCATATCGAGATCCAATATCTGTTATCTATTTTCATAGATAATACAGCCACACAGTGCAGGTACAACATGCCAGGCTACAGTAAAATCACTTTATTTTGAATATATAAATAATATAATTTCAAAATGACCATTTTATAATGTTTACTATTTGTTTATGACGCCATTTGATGATTTGGCTGCCAGTTACAGTTTGCACTGATGCAGTAAAACCACTTTATTTTCGATATGTATAGTAGTATACTCTGTAGTGTGGAGCAGCATGCTTCTGCAATATATATTCGTTTTTAACCAGATGTGACTCGCGAGTGAAAACATCATGTGCTCCTGAGGCATGCTGCTCGTGCCAAATGACAAAAATACAAGACCTCAAGCCGCGTACCACATTATACTGACCCGTGTACCGATGAATGGCGGCTCCCTTACGTGCAGTGAAAACACTGGCCCTGCAGGTGTTACGAGAATTCATTTACTGTTTTCAGATAGTTCCACACTGCAGACCCTGCTTTGTTAGCCTCTGATAACATGCCTCACTGCTAGTGCAGCTAGGCATTTGTTATGTTTTCCGAGATTGTTGCTAAGTTCTGGCTAGGCCATTGTATCCTATTGCATCCCTATAGTATCCGAAGTGGTTGCTAAGGTGTTGCTATGTAATGCTATGGTATCCTGGGTGGTTGCTAAGGTGTTGCTAGGCCATTGCTTTTGTATCCCACTGTATTTTGCCCTATTGCATCCCCATGGTATCTCAGGTTGTTGCTGAGGTGTTGCTATTCTTTTGCTATGGTGTCCCAGATGGTTGCTAAGGTGTTGCTATGCAATTGCTATGGTATCCCAGGTGGTTGCTATGCAATTGCTATGGTATCCCAGGTGGTTGCTAAGGTGTTGCTAGGCCATTGCTGTGGCATCCCAGGTGGTTGCTAAAGTGTTGCCAGGCTGTTGATTTGTGTCCCTTTGTTTGTATCCTATTGCATCCCCATGGTATCCCAGGTGGTCGCTAAGGTGCTGGTAGGCTTTTGCTATGGTATCCCAGATGGTTGCTAAGGTCTTGCTAGGCCATTGCTGTGGCATCCTAAGTGGTTGCTAAGGTGTTGCTATGCCACTGCTATGGAATCCCAGGTGGTTGCTAAGGTGTTGCTATTGTCCCCTAATTTGCCAGATATGCACACACACATATATATACTCATTTCAAAAGTTCAAAAATCTTTGAAAACGGTACAAAAAAAGTTTAGAATAATAAAATGAACAGTTTCTCAAGCCAACTTAACACTGGTCTCCAACAATAACTGCCTCCATCCTCCATCCAAAACATGCACTGGTAGTCATGCCAGCGTGGAGCAATGATTAAAGTAATGATGAGCTTCTATCATTTGAACTGCAGCAATTAGCATCAACCTCTGACAGGCTGACAGGCAGCTGACAGGCCTGATTTCTGCAGCTGAGCAGATTCATTCACTCTGTTGTACACTAAGGTTTTAGCAGTGTTTCGTAGTGCAGCTCCACTCATCACCTGCACTGCGCTGTCAGGGTTGTCAGAGATCATCTGCAGCATCACTAGATTTGCCAAATACTGCACATGAAGTTCATCCTGGAGGACTCCCAAAAAACAACACACACAGTAATGGGTAATATTCAAATTACACTTTAAAACAACATATTTTTACTACTGGTACTGGTTTAGAGATGAGCAGTTTTCCAAAACTTCCACCCATATTTCCATCCACATAAAGCTCTGACGTTCTGCTGCTGGGGAGAAAAGAGCAGGACTTGGAGGTCACTCAATTGTGACAGGAATGAGAGAACAGACGGAGATGTTTCTGAAACTCACAGACATCAATCTTTCAAAGGCACATACTGAGGAAAACAGTTTTTCCCTGAATGGGAAGTCCATAAATGGAATCTCTTCTGCAAAAACATCCCGTTTTCAATGCAGCATGGTTGTGATGTCACATGAGACTACCCATATATGTAAATGTTTTGTTTTTGTGACAATTGTAAGGACGAGGAAGTGAACATTATTAAAACTAACGGTGTTTGTACCACATGAGAGTCTTATTTAAGAAGAAAAAGTGGGGAAAAATTGAATTTTACACAATACGGGCTCTTTTAAAAGAAGGTAAAGAATCGGTATCAAAGTTAAGGTGTTGAAATTGGTTCTAAGAGTTTTTGAACTATAGGAAGCCCTGCTCACAGGCATTAGCATCATTCACGTTACAGTGAAAAGGAGCAGGGCCTCCTATTGCTCGTCAAAACATAAAACTGGGGTTTCACTGGAATGTTGGTCTGTATGTTTTCTCCATCTTCCCCTGTAGGAATGCAACAAATACCTGAACAGTGATTTCAACATTTGAATGCGCCTCAACTAGCTAACTGCGTACCTGAGCACCTGTTTACATCCTGACGATAAGCTCACAGTCTGGATAAAACAGTTTAAAAATGTACAGTCTGAGTTTTTTAAACATCAGTTCCCAATTTAAGGTTAGACATTCCTCTCAAAGCCATTCTGTTAGTGCATCCAACCCCAGCTGGCTTTCGTGGACTCGACACTGTGTGTGTGGAGGTCAGAGGACTAAAGTGAGGATGTTCAGTTGTTTTCTAGTCAAGCGACGAGTCAGCAAGGTGCACCATGGGATAGAAGGCCTACCTTTCTCACATAGGCGCCCCGTGAAGTGGAGAGGGCAGTCGCAGAGGAAAGCTGCTGCCCCGCTGGGCAGGGACAGCGGCCGGCACGTCCCCCCGTTGCGACAAGGCCCGTCAGAGCAGGCCGCCGGTGGGGCGGTAGGGAGAGGGGTAATGATGTCTGCTCCGTTGGGGGTGGTCTCAAATGGGCTGGACACAGGAGGGGGAGCAACAGTGCCCACTGGGGTGTCCTGATACCACACAGACCTGCAAGACAAATGAGCCAGTCACAATGGGCTCAGTGTTTTTCTTTTAGACAAGGAATTAAACTGACAGCAGATTTTATATACTGTTGAAACAGAATTGAATGAAGATATTGATATTTTTTTATCATACACTTCAGCAGCGACAGCAGCAGTCATTCTTTTTATTAACCTGACAAGAAAGTGAAAAAGCCAATTCACACAGTTTTCCTCTTAACCTAAATGTAGTTGAACAGCCAAGACCTTACTTTACACTGCAGATGTGAGGCTAATGTAGCTAAAAAGGAAGTAATAGAAGTTTGTCTCCCAATAAGCATCAGGCAAACTGCATGGCTAAATCCAGAGGTGAGTCCTCTGGCTCTTCACAGAAGGCCTAATGATGTCTGTGAATTACAAAGAAATACTCGTCTGTAATTTCCAGGTCATTTTTATTTAATAAAGTCACCATATGTTTGCATTTAAACTTAGGCATTATTATCATATTCGTATTTCATTTTTACATTTTGGTGGTGGAGGTTGGGTAGATACAGCCAAGCAAGCTCTCCGGTTGTTTAGGCCTTCAGGAGCTGCACCGAATGGCTGATGCTTTAGATTCTCCACCGATATATTTATGAATTGATGGTGGTATTAACTAATCGTTTTGATTTCCAGTAAATGAGACCAATTTCGGGAGGGAACAAAGTCACTCTAGTCCTTCTGGACGTCCCAGATGCGGCACTGACTGTGAATACAAGCTTCACCAGGTTTGGGTTGGTTGTTAGGAATGGAAAACAGCAGCGGCGGCTCTATGCTACGACTCTTCGTCCCCATAGAATGATAAAGTTGAGTTTTCAACATATTTATTCTGTGACACTTCTTAACATTATGTGAAATGTTTCTAAGTTTTTAAGTGTGCACTTTGGACTCTTTACCTATGAAAAACTCAAACTCTAGCTTAGTTCTATAAGGTTCTATCTGCCAATCAGCACTTTGAATACACACAAGAGGACCAATCAGGTTCTGCATCTTTGTCATGTCGCCGTTCTGCTCAGTGACGGTGGGAAAAGTCTATAAACTTTATGAAAGATGAAAACATGTTGCTGAAACTCCGCCTGTCGTCTTACAGCTCTTTAAAAAGTCTTACTGTCTTAAATTTTATAAATATTAAGCCTTAAAGGTCATTAAATAGTGAACGTTTGAACTGATGGGTCTTAATTACAGCATAAACATTCACTCCTTTCATTTATCCATCTTTTCTTTTTCTTCTTTCTTCCAAAATAAGACATTTTAGCTCATTAGAGTCTCATTTCTGATGTAAAACTAAACATCACACGGCCTTTAGACTGACCGGCTACGCTGACCTGCTGGGACAGTTTAGTACAGTAGCTGTTTCTGACTAAAGGAAACTGAAACTAATGGCTCCCACCTGAAACTGACCTCTGCACTGGACAGAATATGGTAACACTTTACTGTAGGGTTCTGTTCATAAGGCTACATGACTCTTGCATAAGCTTGTCATGACAACTGACATAACCCTACATAAATGTTTATATATGCTTATTCCAATAGGCGTCATCTGTCATAAAGGCTACTTTAGCTAACTTTAGCTAACTTTGATCAAAATTGACAAATGTAACCTTTAAAGCAAGTCTGCCTGCTGGAATAAGCATTTATAAACAGTTATGTAGGGTTATGCCAGTTGTCTTAACAAGTTTATGAAGACGTCATGTAGCCCTATGAGCTGTACCCTACAGTAAAGTGTTAGCCAGAATATTTAGCACTGACCTTTATACTTAATCTATCAGTCAGTGCTTTTAGTAAAAGGAAAAAGATCATCTTTAAAAACAAGACGTTATAAAATAAACATAGACATTAAATACCATAAAATGTCTGATAATGTAGACAGTTTTTATGTTAACACTAATTTTATGTTTTGAGCTAATTACGAGTATAAACTGTTTGTGTTCCTTGAAAATCGTTGCTTCTTTTCATGTTTTGTCAGGAACCTTAGAACCTTAGAATCAGAAAGTAAGTTCTTAAGATCAGAAGGTTCTCTCTGCATTTGACCTGTTCTAAAAAAACTCATTTATAAATCTGATAGGATTGAGATTTTGTACATTTAGAATATGTTTAGTGAGTGTTCGTCAGTGTCATGTCTAAAGAGACGTGTTTCATGTATCAGTTCTGCTATCTAGAACGCACTACTTTAATGAAGGAGCCACTGTAAAACTGATACATACAAGCTCAGATCAATGTTAATGCCTGTTATAAGTTAAACACACAGAATATCTTGTACGAGCTTCAAATGTCTATGACTGTCAATGTATGCTTATGTGCACCACCGTTAGCTTAGCAGAAGTTAGCATCATCACAGAGGTGTTTTTTCTTCTTGTTCGACTGAGTTTTGCTCTAATAGTCACATTTCTCCACTGCCAAAATCATCACATACTCAGTGCACAGAGTTGGTCGATAATCCTAACAGGCTTGATCATGTGTAGATTTGGGCTCTAACGCAGCCAGGCCGGTTGGATGTGTGCAGCTGAAATAGACTTTACGTAGTCAAAAACAAGCAATGGTTAAAATCAGAAAAGCCTGAATGTACATAACAAAAGAGGTCCAAACAAGCAATCCAAATGGGAAAGGACAAAAGGCAGAGTCCAGAAAAACTGGCAAAAATAAAAAACGGTACACGAGGAATAAACAAACATACAAGAAAACCACTTCGTCGCTCTTTAGAAGATGCAATAAAGATCTAATCTACAAGCCCAGGATTTTATACTAACTAAACAAGACATCATGTCCTTCCGGCTCGAAGGACATCTCGTTTAGGGACAGTCGTGGGCTGGAGGTTAGGGAACCAGCCTTGTGATCGGAAGGTCGCTGGTTTGATCCCCTGAGCCGACAGTACGTGACTGAGGTGCCCTTGAGCAAGACTCCTAACCCCCAACTGCTCCCCGGGCGCCTTGGATAGGGCTGCCCACTGCTCTGGGCAAGTGTGCTCACTGGCCCCTAGTGTGTGTGTTCACTAGTGTGTATGTGGGGGTTTCACTGTACAGATGGGTTAAATGTGGAGGTCTAATTCCTCTGTGTGCGAAACACAGTTGGCTAATGGTTCTGAATTCCATTCTATCAATCAGCTTCAGGTGAGCTTTCAGGCAAAGTAGAAGAGATAGGTGGGTGTTGGTGAGGAGGAGTCATGTGACCACCTCCGAGTCCACCGAGGAATGAAGAGTCCAAGTCATGTGATCTCCCCAAGAATTCTGGGAGATGGAGTCTTTCACTGAACGACACACTTATTTATAAAACTGTTAGCTCAGATAAAATTAAAGCTTTAAGATGAAGAGTCAGACTGGCCTCTAAGATTCAGACTGCTTCTGTATGTACAATCGTGTGCAAAAGTTTGGGCGCCCTGTTCTAATGTTTTGTTGGTTTTCTTTATGAAAATAAGCTGTGCAAAAACAATGTGCTTCCAATTTTTCTCTCTTTGTTACTTTTTTGCATAATGCAAAAAGTTCTTTCACAATAAAAGGACCAATAAAAGGGCGATGAAGTTCACATCCTCTACAGAGACACACTTCTGCAAATTCTAATGCACAACTACTGTTTATTTGCTGAATTAAACATATTAGGAAAATAATAAAACAAACTGCATTAATAACCTGGCATAAGTTATGGCACATTTTATATTTTTTCAACAGGTTAAACTCAATAAATAGAAATAAACAAAAATTGTGCACTAAAATTTGCAGAAAAATATGTTTGTTCTTTTAGAGGGACGTTCACTTTATTTCACAGAGAAAATGAACAAAACACGTATCTAGATCAGAGCATTCAAACCAGGAAAATGGCTCTCTGCACCTCACCTTTGATTGTCTGAGAGATATAAACTGCTGGAAGTCTAAAACCTTTTTAAACCTAAACCAAGACAAAGCAGAAGTTATTATTTTCGGGAATCCTGATTGGGCCAGAGCTATAGCTAATGATCTGGGGCCTTTACCATCTTATGTACACAGCCATGTAAAAACCTTGGCGTTATCTTTGATTCGGCTCTTAAGTTTGAGAAGCAAATAAATGGTGTTGTGAGAGCTTCTTTCAACTTAGGATTACAGCAAAAATGAAAAGCATTCTGTCTTTTAAGGACCTGAAAACAGGTGTTCATGCTTTGATTTCCTCTCGTATTGACATTGCAATTCGCCGTGCTCAGGAATCTGTCAGTCAGGGTTGTCACGTCTGCAGTGGGTCCAAAATGTGGCCGCAAGGCTCCTGACTGGCACCAAGAGAAGGGAGAGCATCACCCCTGTACTTGCATCACTGCACTGGTTACCAGTAAAATATAGAACTGAATTTGAAGTTTTATTATTCATTTTTTGGCTCGGCTGCCAGCTATATCTCTGACCTCCTCTGCTTCCATTCCACCTCAGGAGTTCTACGATCTACTAACGAGTTGCTCTTAGCCATTCCACGGCCTCGGATGAGATCTAAAGGCGTCCAGGCCTTTTCCGTAGCTGCCCCAAGACTCTGGAACGGTCTTCCGGTTTTTAGAAAGGAATCCCACACAATAGAGGTTTTTTGGTCAAATCTTAAAACCCATCTATTTTCTCAGGCTTTTGAGTCTTTTTAATGATTATGCACTCAGTGTCTGTTCTGTCTTGGTTGGTGTAGCTCTTCTATTTTATTTTGCCCTTTTGTTTTATTGCTTTTTATTCCATCTGTTTTGTGTGCTTGTTGTTATTTCTTTTCCTTGATCAATGTACTGTAAAGGTTTGATTAGTTAGTAGTGGTTATTTTAATCCATACTGTTGTGCAGCACTTTGGCCGACACTTGTTGTCTTTTAAATGTGCTACAGAAATAAAGGTGACTAAATCTATAGCTTATGCTGTTTTCAGCTGAGTTCAACAAGACAGGTGTGCAGTTTGTACCTGGCTGCATTGTGTGCTAGCCTCATTAGACTTGTAGCTAATAGGTCGCTAAACTACTCCTTTAATGCGGCATTTCATTAGGACAGCGGTGGGTGTGAGGGGCGG